AGAGAAGGGGATGATGGGCATCCAGGTGGAGGGAACAGCCTGCACAAAGGCAGCGTGGCATGAAAGGTCAGGTCTGCCGTGACGCTGCACTGGGGGACGTGGTGGATGGTTCAGCTGGAAAGGACCCCGAATGCCAGCCTAAGGAACATGACATTTATCCTGTGGGCCATAAGGAGTCATGGAAGGTGTGGGAGCAGGGTGTGTTTCCCTCAGTGCCAGCACAGGTAGGTGCTCAGTGGACCTTGCTGCCTGACCTGTCGATGTGTATTTTTCTCCTGTCCACACTAGGGTCAGAATGGCCTGGAGCCACTGGAACATTCCTGCCAGGAATTGAAGCCCTACAGCTATACCTCCTCATCTCCATTTGGCCCTTCTCCGGGAGGGTGGTCAAATTCATCAGCCTGTTTGAGCCTCAGTTTCCTTGCCTGACAATACACCAACCCTGCAGGCTGTGAGGGTGAAATGAAGTCAGTGTGCACAGTGTAGCAGGTGCGTTATTGAGTCACGTTATCACGTGTGGACCAGATGGCATCGTGGAAAGAGCACAGGCTCGGAGGTCCTATGCTGGAATCCCAGTTTCACCCCCAGTTAAGGCCATCTCTCAGGGCCGATGGAAGGATTAAATTCTGTGAGATGGGACACGTGAAGCACCCACCGCTCAGCAGGTGCCTGAGAACCTGTTCCCCGCCTGTTCCCTCTCCAAGCTCCCGGGATGCTGCCCCTCGCTCAGCATTTTGCACATGGCGGTCCCTGTACTGTCAGCTTCCCTGCCCTCAGCACCTGGCACACGGTCGATATCCTTTACCCACCACAAGGAGCTTTTACCTGCATCTTCCTCCCAGCGACTGCATTCACCTATTGCCTTATTTATCGTGTAGATGAGGAAACAGAGACCCAGAGAGGGAAAGAATGAAATTGACATCATTTGAGCACCAAAGATGTACCAGAGACATTATACCCATTCGTTCTTCACAACAGCCCAAGAGGGAGCTTTTATCCTCCTCACTGCGTAAATGTGGAGGTTCAGAGAGGGGCATTGACTTGTCCAAGGTCACCCAGCAAGTAACTGGCAGAGGACGAGGGTAAGCCAGGCATTTCTGACTCGAGAGTCCAGGATTTAGAACAAACATTTGCAATGTGGGGTGAACATATCTGTCCCCCAGGGCTGTTCCCAGGACAGATGGGGTAATAGGTGTGATGGCATCTGGCACACGGTGCCTGAGGACTGGTAGTAGAAGTGGACTCTGTCCTTGTCCACCTCCACGTAATTGTACAGAGAAAACAGAAGCCTGGGGAGGGCTATGGTGCGCCCAAGGTCACGGCAAGTGGTCGGCAGAGCCCAGGACCACTGTCTCCCCTTGCCTGCCCCTTCCCAGTTAAGGGCAAGCGCTGCCCCTCCAGGGCCTTTCCCTCCCCAGAGAGTGGAAACTTCCAGAGTTCCTCTGACCTGACCAGAGAGTGAACAAGAGCAGGAATTTCCACCCCGGCACACAAATCCAGAGCTGGGGGCTGAAAGCTGGAATCCCAGGTTTTGCCACCCAAGGCAGCCCCCACCCCCCAGGGTCCTTCACGAGCACCTCGCCCCCTCCCAGCCAACCACCCAATTCGAGGGGACCCCCCAGAGGCACTGGTGTTCTCAGAGGGGAGTGAGGAGCCCGGTGGGATGGCAGGTGGTGTGGGAAGTTGAGGGGACAAGTCATAGTGCTCACGGTGGCCAGAGCTAAAATGATCAGTGTCCCCTGCCCCATCTTCCAATGTCTAAAAAGCTGCAGCCGCAAACAAAACCCGCAGCACATTCCCCGCCTGCCCACCGGCGGCAGGCTCAGAGGCGGAACTGCCGAGCGGTGAGACGGCGGGGACACAGCACCTGCCCACCGGGCGCTGGCCCGGCCCTCTCGGCAGGCCTTGGTGCTCTCCCGCTGGACGTGACCGTCACAGAATGCCAGCATCATCAGACAGGGCCACGCTGACGGCGATGGGTCAACACAAAGCAAGACCACTCGGTAGTGACCAGGGCTGAGCGCACGCAAAACGCGAACAGAAATGACCAAACATCCCCCCCCTGCCTATAGGGTGACCGCCACTTCTCGCCGGTGACAGCTTTAGCAGGGCTCTGGTCTTCCTTCCTTCTAGGTAGCACTGAGGAAGACGCCCAGTCATAGACTCACCCTGCCTCCCGACAGCGTGCCGTCTGGAGCCAAGGCCCGCTTCCTTAACTGCCCCCCAAGACCACCTGACTCCAGCCCGAAGCCTGTGGCAGGTCCTTTCTGACACTCTCTTTCAGAGACACCCCGTGGGTCTCCGCGGCTCTCATTCCCCCTCACTGCAACAGGTGAACCCACTGATGCAGGTGCGCGCCTGCACCCTTCCGCTGCAGGACGGTGACAAACGGTGTCACGTACCCACCACACAACCCTGTGACACTCAGAGACAGGGCACATCATGTCCCGTTTGCACACAAGGAGCCTGAGGTCCACAGAGGCGACTGGACTCGCCCAGGGTCACGGAGTAGGGAAGGTGAATACGCAGTGTGGCTGGGTGGGGAAGCTCTGGGAGCCAGAGGGGGCGCCGCCCCTAACCGCGCAGCGGCAGCCGCCAGACCAGGACCTTCCCGGACAGGTCGGCCGCGTGGTCTCCCCAACACGCAGCGAGCTGGGGGGAGACCAAGCCTGGAGCTCGCCATCTCTCTCCCTGCCCGACCCCCTGCAGACCCCTGAGGGGCAGGCCCGGCATCCAGAGGCTCTGGTTCGTGTCGAAGGCCCTGCAGGTGTGGCTCAGGGTCGTGGAGGCCACTCCCGAGATCCGCACTGAACAGCCGCCGCCGTGGTCTGGCCACTGCAGTGGGTGCTCGCTTCCTAGCAGGGGCCCCTGGGGCCTGCAGGCATGACGCCTCATTTATCCCGTCCTGAGGGGGACAGGTGGTTTTACAGAAAAGAATGCGCAGGCGAATGAAGGTGACCGCTGTAAAGTTGAAAACTGGTTTATTTTAGCCATTGGCGCTGGCGTTCCTTCTGATGCAGGTCACAGACATCCCTGCCTTGGTCTGCAGAGCACAGGAGCACGCCACACCTCACCTCATCCGAGGACTCGGGCTATGAGCAGGAACACCTGTCCCTGCGTCACACCAGCAGAGAGGATGTGCCCGGGGGCACCCTTCACTCCAGAGGCAGAAGTGACCCAGAAGAGGGAGTGTACTCGGGGGCGTGTCCTTCTGACCCAGCACAGGGGCATCTCCTTCCCCCGGCCACGACCCCAACCGCGACCCCGAGGCCCACCCACCTGGTGAAGGTCTCCAGGGTGCAAGCTCTGAGTGCGTGCTCCTGGTCTGAGGTGGCATCGCTGCCCTTTTCTCTGCAGCTGGGGCGGGCACAGAGGGGCTCTGCAGAGATCAGCGTAATGAAAGTGTCACTCTGAGATGCTAAGGGAGGATACAGTGATCTCTCCAGGGGCCGCTGAGCCAGCCTGAGCTATGTGCCCCAGATGGCTGTGTGGCTGTCACTCCCCTGCCTCTGCTGTGTCAGTTTTTCACTTCTCTACTCCCACCTCAGCCTCAGCTTCTGCTCTGCGCTCCGTCTCCAACTTGCAAGAACTCAAGCTCGCTAGATCGTGAGCCCTTTGGGGCGGGGACCGTAGCAGTGGTTCATTCTCTCTCCCCCTAGAGATCCCAGCTTGGTGTCTGGCACATGGCAGGTGCTCAGTAAATGCCACCTGATTCAAACTGAATTAAGGCAGGAAGCTGAATTTCACCCACAATCCTAAATCAATGCAAACATATTCCACAGGTAGGGGGAGGGCAATGTTCCTGCAGGGGCTTTCTGCCTGGCTTTGTGACTGTAGCCAAGCCACTTAGAAGTTTGAATGCCAGAGAGGAAAAGGGCTGTGAGTCTAAAAGTTGGGGAAGTGGGAGAGGGTGATGTCATCTGCAGAAGTTCCTGGGTCCTGGTGAGTTCTGTGTACCCTCAATGACCAGCAGCTCTGGGCCAGGCCAGAGTCCGGGCTGGGCACAGGAGATACCAAGGTAAGGGTCAAGGTCATGAGGCCACCCTTGGGCAAAAGCAGGGTCACACCACAGTGAGAAATGTACGAGGCCCAGAGGTAGCGCAGCAGAGCAAGGGCTGCTTTATTCCAGGAGGTGTGACATCAGGAAAAGCTTTCAGAGGAGAGTCATCTGTGCAGGGGTTTGAAAGATGAGCAGGAGTTTGCCAAGCTGGCAAGGGAGCCCGGGGCAGCCTGGTGGAGGAGGGCAGCTTGGGCAAGAGCGTGAGCAGCAAGATGGCGGGGCTGGAACTGGAGGAGCAGAGAGAATGAAGGGGGCTGCCCTGGGGTAAAGTCGGGAGGACAGCAGGGGTCAGCCACGGAGGTTTTGGATCCGGTGGAGGGGCGATGGGAGCTGCAGGAGGATGTCAGTGGGGAGGAGGCGTGCTGAGCTCTGAGTGAAGACGATCACCCCACCTACCAGGTGGACTACAAGACCACAGGAATGGGAGCCCCGAAAGGCCTTCACAAAGATCAGGGGCTCAAGGGTAGCACCAAGGAGGGTCCCTGCCAGAGGCCAACTGTGGGGGGAGGTGGAAAGAGCTTTTGAGGGTCTCAGCTGCTGCAAACCTTCTCATTGGGTCATATTTTACCTTCGAAGGTTTGCCAAAGGGAACTACCAATTGGGAGAGCACTGGGCCTTGGGTAGGAATCATCCTCTCCCTGCGCTTTTTCTTTTTTTAGAGACAGGGTCTCACTCTGTCTCCCAGGCTAGAGTGCAGTGGCACGATTACAGCTCACTGCAGCCTCCAACTCCTGGGCTCAAGTGATCCTCCCACCTCGGCCTCCCGAGGTGCTGGGATTACTGGTGTGAGCCACCACCGGTCCCTGTGCATTTCTTTACAGTTCTCAAAATGCTCTCTGGTCCATTGTCTCATTTGAACCTCTATGTAATCCCATTTTGCAGATAGGGAAACTGAGGCCTGTGAGTTCACATGGGGTTAGCAAGTGGTTCCAGTTCCATCTCAGCCCTGGGCATTGGGCTCAAAGCCCAGTTCCTTGTCTGGGAGGGGGTCTCCAGGACTGTCTGGCAGCCCATAGTACAAGTCTTCCTCCTCCTCCTCAGGCTCCTCTGAGCCTGAGTCCGAAGCCTCCTTCTCCTCCTCCTTTGTCCCTGGGGACCGCTGCCAGTTGTTGGGCAGGGCCACCTCCTGCTGCTGCCCCCCTTGAGGCACATCCTCCACCGTGGGGGCATCGATCAGGGCGAAGTCGCTGTAGCGGTCCAGTGGGCACCAGCAGGCCCGATGCTCCTGTGGTGGGGCCTGAGGTTCCTCCCTGTCAGGCGGAGATGGATTGGTGCTGCTGTCTTCGCTGGAGCCCACGTCCAGGTCATCTTGGAAGCAGGCCAAGGGTGCAGGGCCCTGGGGACAGGCTGGGGGGCTGCAGGGAAAAGACCACAAGGGTGAGGGTAACTCTGAGTCAGACTGTTTGGGTCCAAATCCCGGCCTCTAGCTGCAAGGCCTGGGGTAGGCTAGTTCACCTCTCTGGGCCTCAGCTTCCTCCCCTGTAAAGCGGCGAAATACCAGTCTTCACTCCTGCAGCTGTTTCTGAGGTTTACAGCAGATGATATGCACAAAGCACTTTGCACAATGCCTGGCACATAGTAGGTTCTCAAAAACAGGACTATTATTATGTTACTATCCAAACCAGGTCACGCGTGCACTTCTCCAGTCATTCAGGGTCCTTGTCTGTCTCTCATCCTGGGGCATCCTTCTGTTTCCTTGTCTGCCTCCCCCATTGGACTGGGAGCTCCTAAGGGGCGGAAGCCAGTCAAGGCCAGGCAGGGAGTAGGTGCCCAGTAATGCTGATGGAATGAATAAATAAACGGATGGACGAGGAACTCAGTTCACAGACAGACAGGGACAGGTGTGGGCTGGGGAGTGACTTGCTCAAGGTCACAGAGCACGTCATCAGCAGAGCCAAGATTTGCACTTGGGTCCCTCTGGCTCCCAGCCCTTTGCTACTCACAGAGAGATTCAGAGAGAGGAAGGGCCTCCTGTGTGCCAGGCACCTAAGTGCTTTGTCCCAATCCTCACAACATCCCGTGTAGCAGGAATGATCATTCCCATGTGGGGAAACTGAGGCCCAGGAGAGTAAGGAACGTGCCAAGGTTACCCAGCAGAGGGGCTGGGATTCGACCCCAGGCCCACCGGACTCTTAAGCCCATACTCACCTGGCTGCCTCTCAGGCTGGCCCGCACCATCCGCTGCCCTCTCCTTACTCCCAAATGTCCCCAGCCACCCCTCGGTGGCCCCCCACCCTCTCCTCCTTTATCCCGGAACCGGGCGGCACCCCACTCCCGCGCTGTGCGCACTCACCCGGGCCTGCTCTGAGTCGGGTCTCTCTCCCCGTCATTCTCGTCGGAGCCCCTGTGGACGACGACAGCAGCCTCCGCCCAGGCCTGGACGTCCCGAGGGCCACCTTCTCCACCACTGGTTCCCACCTTGGGGCCCAGCAGGGGGCGGGGGTCCTCACTGCAGCTCATGACCTTCATCTGGATGTGGCTGAAGTCGGGCAGGCTCTGGTCGTAGGCGGCTTCCTCCCACAGCCTGACGTAGGGGGGCTGGGGGCTGGCGGGGGCACAGCTGGCAAAGCGGGAGTGAGAACAGGCAGGCGGTCAACGAATCCCTCAACAAACACCAGTATTTTCCCCTGGCCCTGTTTGCCCCGGGCATGTGCTCTTCCCTGATCTCACGGAAGACTTGGAGGATGTTGCTGTACCTGTTTCGGGGATGAGCAGGCTGAGGCCCAGCAAGGCGAATAAACCAAGTGGCAAAGCTCGGGCCTGGCCCCCAGTCTGACTCTCAATCCAGTGTGTCCTCCTCACTTGGTGTCTCCGAAGGTACCCACGAGGGCTGCTTAACACTGAGAGTTTGCTGGGCCCTAGACGGTGGGCCAGTCATCCTATTGTTCCCAAGAACGCCTTGAAGCAGGGATTGCCACCCCATTCCACAGATGCGGACAGTGGTAACAGCCGCAGCTATTGAATGCTCCTTTCCCGCCGGCTCTGCAGTAGCTCAGCCGAGCCTCACTGCGATTCCGGGAGATACTGGGAAGAAACTGAGGCACAGGGCCTCTGCCTGGCTTGCATCCAGGGTAACACGGACACTAGGTGGTAGCTCTGGGGCTGCAGGTGTCATGTTCTCTATCACTGTGCTACAGTCCCTCTGGAAAGTGTGGTTCAGAAGCTAAGTCCCTTGCCCAAGGTCACACAGCTGGGAAGTGACAGGGAAGAGCAGACCCCAGGGTGGCCTGAGCCCCTGCTCTGTCATGACAGCGTGTAACAGAGCTTGGGTTGCCCCCACGCCTTCTGGAGTCCACCCACTTCGTTCCCACCAGGACATTTGTTCCCCCGTGTGCCAGGAGCAGAAAATGCCACCATCAGTCCCTTCCCCAAGCAAAACAGAGAGAATCCCTGGCCCAGCTGACTGACCCTAGACCTGCAGCCCGGCCCGCGGCAGTGCCCTGTCGACACCCCCAGGGAGTGGCCAGGTCAAACCTCCTGATGCCCAGCCTCTGAGCCTCAGTCTCTCCACCTGTATAAAGGGCCTAACACCCCCACCTCATAGGGCTTCTACGAGGACTGAAGGCGTGATGGGTGCACAGTGCCTGACCAGCCTCTGGCACACAGAAGGCACTTGCTAATGGTGACAAACTCTTACAGAAAACCTACGGGGTGCCAGGGCCTGTTCTTAGCATTCTGTGTATATTGTCTCCCTAGAGGATAGGTCCCATTAGTAACCCCATTACTCAGATGGGGCAAAGAGAGGTCAGCTGCTTGCCCAAAGTCACACAGCTAGTGAGTGTCAGAGCCCCAGAGCTGTGCCTCTTGCTGCTTGTCTGTAGCGGTAGTGGCAGTCCCTCTGTGACACTATTTCACTGTGTTTGTCACAGTATGTTTCACTGTATGATTCCTGTGTCACTGAGACCCTGTATTCACCATAAGACTTTATTTTGTTCCTAAGCCTCAGTTTCCTCACCTATGAAATGGGAATAATAACACCTAACTCACAGAACGGAGAGTTCAAAACACTCCATGATTTCTAGTAGTTCCTTCTCAGTAAGAGGGAGGGCAACACGGGCACCTGGGTGGAGAGGAGGAGACACCGCCCACGCCTCCCGCTCCCTCTCCCCCTCTCCTGGGTGAGGGTGGATTGGTGTGAGGGGCTTCCTGCCCCCGCAAGGGCCCGGCACCCACCTCCTCACGTCTGCAGCAAGCCCGTTCTCCAGCAGGCCCAGGGCCTTCGGGGACAGGATGCCCTGGAAGTCAGAGTCAGCGGGCACGAAGGCGACCTGCAGGGCAAGGGAGACAGCCTCTCTGCAGCTAGCTGGCGCTGGCGGCTGCCCCCACGCGCCCTTGGCCACTGCTCTCCCCGGGGCGTCGGTAAACCTCTCACACACCCTGGGAGAGAGGCTGCACCACGGGGCCGCCCTGCTTGACACGAGAGGGGCCTGCTTAGGGCACAGCTCCAGGGAGGGACAGACCTCTGGGGTCTTCATTTACCCAGCAAACATTTATTGAGCACCTGCGGTATATAGGCCCTTTTCTAGCACTAGGGGGCAGCAGTGAGTGAAAGAGACAACCCTGCCCTCGCGGAGGGCACATCTCCTCATCTCCCAGAGGTCTCCCTCCGTCCAGTGCCCAGCACACGCCTGCCACGTAGCAGGCACTTCATCCATATCTGGTAATGAGTGTCCATGTGTTTCCTGGCACAGAGGCTGCCGTGGGGGAAATAGATGGCTGTGGTTGCGCCCACTAGTCCCTGTCCCGGAGCTTCAGCGATCAAGACGTCTCCGCAGGTGCAGCACCGGCGCTGGGCGCTGCGTGGTGCCGGGAGGCAGGGCATAAGGCAGACAGTGGGGTGGGGTGGGAGGAGCCCTGCCTTCGGGGTCCGGGAGATGGGTGAGGATCCCTCCTCTGCCAGGTCCTTGCTGAGGGCCCTGGGAAGCTCAGCCCCTCCCGGAGCCTCTCTGTGCTCCTCGTATAATGGGGCCACCCTGGGGAGATGCTCACACAGCCGTGTTCAGAGCTACCTTGTTCTCGAGAGCCAAAATGCGGGCGCACCCAAGTGCCCATCGATGGGTAAACAAAATGCAGTCCCACCATACAAGGCAGTACTGTTCGGCCTTAAAAAGGGAGGAAATTCTGACACATGCTCCAACATGGATGAACCCTGACGAAGGACGTTGTACCAAGCAAAATAAGCCAGACACAGAGAAACGAATACTGTATGATCCCATTTCTCTGAGGTACCGAGAGTGGTCAAATCCACAGAGACACAAAGTAGAATGGTGCTTGCCAGCGGCTGGGGAGAGGGGAAATGGGAGCTGCTCTTAAGAGGTACAGAGTTTTAGTTTTACAAGATGCAAAGCATTCTGGAGATTGGCGGTACAACACTGTGAGTGGACTTAACGCCACTGAACTGTACACTTCAGCACGGTTACGACAATGAGTTTTATGTTCTATGTGTCCATATACGCTTGTCTCCTGGGGTTGCTGTGAAGATTTCATGAGATACTATGTAAGGAACCACCCAGCATGGCGGCTGACATACAGTTACTGCTCCGTAAATCATAGCTTGATGCTACTGAAGACTAAGTTACCTGACTTCTCTGAGTCTTGCTCTCCTCAGCTAACAATTTTCCCAGAACATCCGATGAGACCCTACCGTATTACACCAGGTTCATAAATAGCGCTTCCCTTTTCCTTTGCCATAGAGTGCAGTGAGTAGAACACACTTACATGCACCATAAAAGCTCCATCTTGATGGGGAGAAAGAAGGGAATGACGCATGGAGGAGTTCTAGGACTTCTGCGAGGGGTGAGCTCCCTCCAGTTGTCTAGAAATAAGGCAAGGGCCCGGGCATCTTCCACCCCCACAAAAGACGCCCTGCACTTCCCAGCTGGCTCTGTACTTCCTAGAAGCTGCCTCTTCACCTCATGGCCCAGTCAGTGCCATCATCGCCATCACCGTCACCATCATCACCATCATTATCATCATGATCATCATCGTCAACATGATCAACATCATCACCATCATCATCACCATCACCATCACAATCCTCACCATCACGATTCTCCTCATTACCATCAAAATTCTCCTCATGACCATCAATAGCATCACCATCATCATCATCACCATTATCCTCATCCTCATCCTCATCACTATCACCATCCCCATCTTCATCATCACCATCCTCACCATCAACAGCATCAGCATCAGCATCATCATGAAAAGCCTGAAGTAGGAGAGGATGTAGCATCTTAAAATAGAAGCTCTTTGGCGGGGAGGACAGGCAGAGTTGAGGCTGGGGAGGGGCTGTGGAGACCATGGAGACTGCCAAAACATCAGACTAAGAAGCTCAGCCTTCCTGCAGAAGCAGTGGGGGTCCCAGGGAGTTCTGGGTAGGACAGTGCACAGCTTTGTGTTCAGGCAGAACATGGAGCGGTCCCCTGAGGGAGGAAGCAGAGGGAGGGAGGCCAATGGAGAGGCTAGAACCTTCAACTCTCAATCGGGGTCCTGGTCCTGGGCTCCAGCAGAGCAGGCAGGAGTGAGGACTGGGTGATTCGTGGGCAGAGGCCGTAGCCAGCCCGGGAGAGGCCCCGCTCCCAGCTCCCCTGCAGCGTCTCAGCGAATGGCCTCAGCATGCCCGGCTGCCCCCCACACACACTACAGGTGCACAGCTGCCTCTTCCTCTCCCGCGCCTAGGCCCAGTTGGCTGCCAGATCGGCCAGGTCTCCTTCAGAGATCTGATGAGATAACCCGGGTGAAAGTGTTCCCCCACTAGACGTCCAGCCCCTCAGAAACAGGGGCAGCTCAGTACATGTTGTACTGGCTACCTCTCACCTCCATAGCCTCATTAGTTAATTCTCTTCCCTTATATCTATATTTCTTTCAATCCAAAAGTGTTCCATCTACCGAAGCTTTCCATAGGTCAGGCAGTGAGGGCCAGGGAGGAGCCCAAGGGGAGGACAGGCATGAGCGCCGGAAGCCACGATGGCCCAGGCACCCAGGAGACCACGCGGGACTCAGGGAGCCCCAGGTCGGAGCGTCTCCCCGCTGCACAGCACACCGTCCTCCCTGCCCTCTGTGCAGTCGGCCCTGCTGGCCGCAACACCACGCCCCTGAAGCACAGCACTCACTCACACAGACCCACGCCAGGGTGCACACACCGGCACACACATGGGGGCCACCCCGCGCCGCAGACACCAATCCTGAGGACAGCGCCTTCGCCCTGCGTCTGGTGTAATGCCACGTGCCCGCCCCCCAGCAAGCCATGCAAGGCTCAGAGTTGGGGGGACTCCCTCTGCCAAGGTCACGGAAGTAGGACATGAGGGGGCAGGGATTTGAATCCGGGCCTGTAGGCCACCAAAGTGTGTGCCGTTTCCACCCCACCACGCTGCCTCCGCAGCGCACGAACACGTGAATCTGTCAACAGTTACTCATTAATACCCAGCAATATTCCCTCCCTCTCCACCCCCACTGCCACTCTGCTCACTGCCCCCCACCCCAGAGCCACTTCCGGTTGAGGAGCAGGGCAGAAAGGATGCTCCCCTCCACACCCTGATGTCCCCTGCCATCCCCCAGGCCCAGCCTCCTCACTACAAGGAGGATCACAATGGTGGTGGTGACATGGGTGGCTCTGGACCCAAGGACCTTGTCTCCCAGTGACCTCCACTCAGGGCATTGCACAGACAGAGAAGAGTTGACTGTAAACTGCTTGGTAAATGACTACAAACCAGCCCAGACTGCCCCAGCACTGAACACATGCTGACAGCCTGGGGCTGGCCCGCGGAGGGGGCAGGGCTGGGGAGAGCCTGGCCCAGGCTCCCGGGCCCCCCCTCCCTTGAACCCTGAGCACAGCCACTCAGTGGGGGAGAGGAGGGTCCTGGGGGTGGTGGGGGGTGCCTGGTCCTGGAGCCCTAGATGTCAGTCCAACAGGGCCCCTTCCCCACCCCCTCCTCCCGACTCACACGTTGTACGAATGAGGAAACTGAGGCTGAGAGAGGTAGGGGCTTGAGCAAAATCTCCCAGGCAGTAGAGAAAGAGCCCAAATTAGAAACCATGTTTCTCTCCTTGTCGCCCCTGGTCTGTCTCCAACCAGCTGTGTGACCATGGAAGAGTCACACAACCTCTCTGGGCTTTAAAGCTTTACAACTCCTTCACAGGGAGTGAAGATCCTCCCTCCTTCGCTGGGAGGATCGATAACAGTAAGACTGGCAAGGCTTCACCTACACATAACACCCTACGGATCCCAAAATAGTCCTATATCCCATCTCTTCTCTGGTCTCTATAATAAATAACCCTGTGAGGCCGTACAAAATAGGGATTCAGACCCCATTTTGCAGATGAAAAAACTCAGGCTCAGAAAGACAAAGTTCACACAGAGAGTTTGGGACAGAACTGGAACTAGAACCCAGGACTCCCCAAACAGTGCTCTTCCCATCACTAAATCACACATAAGGCCAGAAATACATTAAGACTTGGAAAGGGAGAGCACTGCCCAATGCATGCCACCGACGTTAGACGTGACCGCCCGGGACTCTCAGCAGCTCTGGGAGCTCGGGAGTGGGGAGGACCCAAGGTGGAGGGTTATGCTTAGGTCACACACGTCTGAGCTCCAATCCAAACTCCGCCACCTCGCCTTTCTGAGCCTCAGCTTTCTCCACTATGAAATGAAAGCACAGATGAGAGCTGAACTGCACCCCGAACGCAGGCGTGCCCGGCAGGTGGTAAGCGCTCGGTAACTTTCGTTTCAAGCTCATGGGTCACGTGTTGTGGTTCACTGCATCTCCCCCATCGTGCCTGGCTCAGGGCTCCAGACCCGGAGGGCTTCGGTCAACCCTTATGCTAATGATGGATGGGTGGACGATGGATGGATGGACGGGCAGATGTGCAGGAGCGCAGAGAGAAGAAAACAGGGAGTCAACATGAGAACAACGAAAAGACGGTTGAAGGATGGGGGGCTGGCTGCTGTGTGCAGTAGAGGCACCGTCTCCAGCCCTCCCTGCCCCACCCGGCCCACCACCACCTACCTTGGGGTAGCACTGGCACATGCTCCAGATGACACCCCCGATCACCATGACGCTGCCCATGGCGTAGAAGGTGCCGTAGACCTGGGGCCGATCGTGGCTCATGAGGAACGTGCCGAGGGCCAGCAGGAAAAGCCCCAGCACGATGAAGCCGATGCGGAAGGTCTTCTCATCAGTCATGGCTGCCGGCCTGTGCACCCCGGCAGAGGGGACACGGGCAGTCTGGCGTAGACACCCAGACAGGCTCTTGCAGGGAGGGATGAAGCTGGGATCGCTGCAAATTGAGGCTTAGGGTTACAGGGAGAGCGAGATCCCTCAGGCCCAGCTCCAGTCCCTGGGCCCACCTGTCCGACAGGGCTGGAGGCGGCACGCTTCAGTGGACCCAAGCACCCACCAGCCACCTCCACTCCTGGCCCTGTCACCTTCCCTCTGGGCCCGGCAGGCCTGGAGTGTGTGTGTGTGAATCTGAGGGAAGGAACGTGCAGGGGAGGGAGAGGGGGAGGCTGCAGGGGCTGGGCCCCAGCCAAGGCTTTGACATCACCTCATTTGCCTACTGTGGGGCTGAGCTGGCCGGACAGGCGGCCCCGCACCATCTAGCCCTGGGAAGCAGGGTGCAATTCTGCAGCCTCAAGACGTTAGAATGTCGCCAGAGCATTCTGGGATCCCATAGGCTGGCATTTCAGAATCCTGGAGAATTCTAGAGTCTTCCAGGGCATATGCCCATCTGGGGCTCAGGCATACTAGCCCATATTTACTGGGTGGTGACTACGTGCACGGCGCCATTCTAAACATGTTACAGCCACTAACTCATTTAAGGGGAACTCCATGAGGCAGGTCTACTGTCCCCACTTTGCAGATGAGGACACGGAGGCACAGACACATAATTTGCCCAGTCACACAGCTAGAAATGGCAGAGTGGCTGGGATTTGAACCCAGAGGCCATGCACTCAGCCGCAGGGCAATACTGCTTGACCGTAGCATGAGGGTTAAAGGTGCAAGTTCTGACGGCAAGGCAGACTACCTGGGTTTGGAATATGGTCCTCTATTGTGGGGGAGCATGGTCTTGATCAAGTTACCTGCCTGTGCCTCAGCTTCCTCCTCTGTAAAATGGGGATAATAACAGCACCTCCCAGGATGGCAGCTGTCTCCAAGCCTGGCCTCCTTGAGTTCCTCTGTGCACCATCTGCACCCGTTCGTGAGGGGCTGAAATCAGACTCCTTTACAGGATTACAGGAAAACAAGGCCCATCGGTGTCTCTAAAGAGAACATTCACTCGGAGTTTTTGTAGGTTGAATCACTGATACAGGATAAAGGCTCTCACTTGCCTTCCTAATCTGCTTGGCTGGGGATTTTCCTCTTCGTGGTCATCACCCTCTGCCTCCTCCCCAGCACAGCTGTGCTTGCCCCCATTACGCCGCACCATGCGCACACCATACCCCGGCACCACACCGTGCACACTCCATACCCCGCACCATGCTCGTGCTCACACCATACCCTGGCACCACACCGTGCACACTCCATACCCCGCACCATGCTTGTGCTCACACCATACCCCGGCACCACACCGTGCTCACACCATACCCCCGCACCATGCTTGTGCTCACACCATACCCCCGCACCACACCGTGCTCACACCATACCCGACACCACACCTGTGCTCACACCATACCCCGGCACCACACCTGTGTGCACACCATACCCTCTGCCTGGTAGTTGTTCCCACAGGCGCTTTCTCCGACAGTGGCTTCTCCTTCACTCACACCCACCCCCCCAACCCCCAGCCCTCAGGTCCGCCCAGGCTGCACTTTACAGTCTGCAGAAGAAGCCCCCTGAACAGAGCTCAGGGGACCCTGAGTGAGAGATTGCTGTGGGGTCAGGAAAGGGCTGAGTCACCAGGTCATGTCCAGGTGTGATTCTCAGGGTGAACTTAGGTAGCTCTGCCCTGTCACCTGTGAGCTTTGTCACCTGTGGATGGGATGGTTATTAGGCCGCCTCCCAGGCATTGTGCAGGGAAAGGACAGAATGGAGGAGAAAGTGCTTTGTAATCTGTGCTTATTTATTAACAGGGCAGGACCCTCCAAGGAAACATTATTATCATAATCTTATAGAGGCTCAGAGAAGTAAAGCGACGAGTCCGGGGTCACCTAGCAGGTACCCCTTGCAGAAAAGGAGACAGAGGCCCAGAAGGACCTCGGCCTGTCTGGTCCTGGAGCCCTGGAGTATTTCCAGCAGGTGCCTCTCACCCCCTGGTGGCCGTCGTGGCCTTCACAGCCCACAGACGCGCGGACGGGAGGCTCACCCCACTGCACAGACCAGGGCACCAGCGGGCGGCTGAGCGGGGACCGCCGCACCCCAGCCCCAGTGTAGATGGATCTGTTCTTCAGTCGTTCCTGAGAGGCCTCGCGGTCCGACAGGAGTGACAACGAGTAAGCAGCTCTGGGACAAGTAGGTGGCCAGTACACGGGGTCTACTCTGACCTCCTGCATGGAGAGGTGAGGAGAGAACTGGGGGTTCGGCCACTCGCGGCTCGCGCCCCGCCCCGGACCCTGCCCGGCGGGGTCCCGCGTGCCGTCCCCAGCAGGGGGCGCGCTCACACCGCGCCGGGTGCTCGCCGCCGAGCGGTCCCAGACCCGCTGGGGCAAGAGCTCACACACCGGACAAACGGAGAAACGGAGGCCCGAGGGGCACGGTGAGCGACCCCAGGTGACAGAACCTGTGACTAGCAGAGCCGGGAGTCAAACCAGGTCCGCAGCGGTCTCTGGTTGAGCAGGACTATGTGCAGGGCACGCAGGGGTGTAAGCGCTCTGACAAACGCGGGGCGGCAGGACGGATGGCACAATGTAGCAAAGGTCTGCAATACGTGTGAGGTCCGGCATGTGCGCCCAGCAGAGCGGGCCGGTGACATGATCCTCGAGAAGGCAGCCGGGTTCTGACGGGCAGGAAATGCATTCCAGGCAGGGCCGGCGCGTGCACAGGCACGGAGGCAAGAGCCCACTGCCGCGTGGCTGTGCACGGGCTGGTCCACGTTGCATGCTCCTCCCCGGACCTGGCCCTCCCGCCTCCACCCCTCCCTCCCAGGCAGTTATCCGAGCCGCCATCCCGCTCCCCTCTCACACCTCATCCTTCAGGCCCTCCCTCCACGATGTTAGAATCCAAACACTGCTCATCACCCGGTCTGAGCCCCCTGCATCTCTCCCCGCCCAAGTGCTCTCTGCTTCCATCCTTGACCCCTGAAGTCTCTTTGCAACCCCAATCCTGGGTGAGATCATGTCACTCTTCTGCGCAGAAGCCTGGCATGGCTCCCTGTCTCATCAGAGTAAAGCCAAAGGCTTTAGGTGACCTGCAAGGCCCTAGATAATTTGTCCATGCCACCTGCCCATCACCCCTCCTCCTCTCACCCGCTCCACTGCAGCCGCCCTGGCCCCAGGCTGCACCAGCAGCACATAGGTGCCCAGGGCCTTGGCACCTGCTATTCCTTCTGCCTGGAGCACTCTCCCTCCAGACGCCTGCATGGCTCCTTCCCCAATGGCACCTTCGCAGGGAGGTCACCCCTGACCCTACCCTAAAACTATATGACCTCCTCGCCCAGGGGCTCCCCGTCTTCCTGTCCCAGTTCCTTTTTCTCCACAGCACTCATCACCATCTACCACAATACACACATTATTTGTTCTTCTTGACTCCTCTGTCTCCCCTAACTGGCACTCAAGCCTCTGCAGGTGGGCATTCTATTCTGTTCCATGCTGTGTCCCAGCGCCAGAACGGGGTGGGCTATGCATACGTGTGCGTGAATGGAAGGACGGCATTGTAGGTGCCAGGGGAGGGAAGCACAGGCAGGAAACCTCCCTGGAGGAGCTGCTACTGAGGTTATGCAGGGGAGAGATGCAAATCACACTTTAATTTTTCAAGTAGGGAGAGAAAGATTCAGCTGAGCAGTAATTAGCAGCTAGGGGAGTAGCCAAGATTCCCGATGGGGATGGGCTGATCCAAGGTGGAGAGCTCCAGGGAAGGGGTCACCAGCCACCTGGAGGGGACAGAGGCCTTGGGACGGTCCAAGGAAAGCGTGGGAGAGGCCTGAGCTCCGAGGGTCCCTGACATCTGAGATGCTGGCAGCCGGCATGAGATGGGTGAATAGCGGGTGAAGAACCTGGACAGTTGGGCCCAGGAGGAAAGAGACCAGGGAGCAAACCAGTGCATCCTGGGTGCTGCAGAGGGGCAGAGCTGGCCTGCATGCCGCTCCCTGGTCAGGCACCTGCCAGTGGGCACAAGGAGCCCCACTTCACAGCGAGGGCCCTGCATCTCAGAAGGGGACAGCGACTAGGCTTGGTCAGGAGACTCTCCCTCCGTGGCTCTGACACGGCCTCCTCCAAGGTACAGGTGACCTTGATTGAGCCCCTCCTGAGGGCTTTTGGTTAGGGCACAGATGAGTTGATTAGAGAGAAATGGTCTTTCTGGTCTTGCAGCCCTCCCCACCCCGCCCCTTCAGCACCTGTCCCTGCTCACACCTGCAACTCATCAGCCCACCTGCCCAAGAGGAAATGCCTCACCTTGGGCATTCCCACCTAGGAGGGCCCACCATTAACCCATTTAGGAATTGCACAGTCTGATAAATGCGTGTGTGTGTGTGTGTGTGTGTGTGTGTGTGTGTGTGTGTGTTCCCGGCCCACAGGCTGGTGAAGAGGGAACAGCCAGTGCAGAGGCCCCAGTGAGACAGGCCAGAGTGGAGAGCAAGGCAGGGGGAGTAGAAGGAGATGGGAGTGTTGGGGAGGAAAGACCCAGACCAGACCCTGGAGCCCCTCCCCAGCCAGTGCAAGGGCTTTCATTATTCCAGACGGCTGGGGGCCACGCAGCGGGTGGCCCAGGGTTGGCATGATCTGACCTGGGTTTGGGCTGAGAACAGACATCAGGGGCCTCAGGGAGGAACAGGGGATGGGTGGCTACTGTGATGCTACAGGCCCGGCGGGAGGATCCCACACTGGCTCTGATTGCATTTTCCAGGACTGTACCTCTCCCAGGCTGTTTTCTCATCTGTTAGACGGGGACACCACCACCTGGTGCAGAGCGGCTTTGAGGATGAGTTGATGGCAGAGGGCCTGGCCCAGCACACAGTAGGTTTTGGGGGTGCCACCCTCATCCAGCTGACTGAGGCCCAGGCCTGTGACCCCCTGCTTGCTGTGACCCTGGGAAGGTTACTTAACCTCATGGAACTGGTTCTCTCTTCTGAAACAGGGTGGGATGGAGAGGTAGGGGTGTAGAATGTAGTTGGACAGAAAGCAGACGTTTCTGCCACATCTGGAAGGTAAAGGGAGGTAGTAAGCTCCCTGTCACAGGAGGTATGGGAGCAGAGGCCAAATTTGCACTTGGTGGAGGAGGGTTGCCTGACGACCACTGCATACCTACTAGGCTCCTGGCGCAGGGCTAAGAAACCTGCTTTTATTATTCGATGCATCAGCGCTGAGCCTGCAGGGTCCGGTGAACTCACAATGTCAACTCCTTTCATCCGATTCGATCCTCACAATTCAGCTCTGCGAGGGAGTGCTGGCGTCACTGTAGTCCCCAATTCCCATTTTACAGATGAGGAAACTGAGTTAAAGAGAGGGAAAGCCACTTGTCCAATGTCACTAAGATGGCACATGGTGGAACCCATGCACAGGTGGTCTGAATTCAGAGACCATGTTCTTTTGGTTATAAAACCCCATGTGTGAACTTGAGCCAGTTCTGCCTCTACCTGTGGGCCCCAATTTTCTCACGTACGCACAATCTCCCGGCTGACAGCCAGCGCCAATGGCCAGCCATGTGAGTGCGCCATCTTGAGTGTTCCAGGCCTCCACCGAATACAGTCTCGCCAACATCAGGTGGGGCAGAACCACCACCCGGCTGGGCCCAGGCAACCCACAGAATCGTGAGACATAATAAAATGGGATGTATTTTAAGCTGCCAAATTTTGGGGTGGTTTGTTATGCAGCAATAGATAAATAAAATAGCATTCAGCAACGAACATTTGTTAAGTGCCTCCTGTGTACCAGGCCCTGTAGGAGACACTGGAAGAGGCTCATCGCTTCCGTCTCTCACTTCAGGGCCTGCTGGGAGCCTTTACCTTTCCCCCGCTGCGGTCTGGACCAGGCCTGAGCAGGAGAATGCAGTGTCACGTGCTGTCTCCCCAGAAACAGCACCAAGAGCAAAGCTGATGCTCTCGTAGCTGGGTGGGTGGAAGGGGGGCTGGGTCCCAAGCAGAGCATCCCCCAAGGCACCGCACTCTGGGTCTTCCTCCGTGGGGTCTGCAGGTGGTGTCGGGGGCCCCTCTGTCAGAGGGCAGTGCGTGGCCTCCTCATAAGTGGGGATGGCCACCTTTGGGGTCCTATGGGAACAGAAGAGGCCGTTAGCAGGGGCCAAGGCAAAAACCTACTGCCTGCTCTCCCAACCCTCTCCCTGCCCCATATAGTCAGTCCCAGGGCACCCACCACACCTCCTGGTGCCACCCACCTCCCTCGCCCCTTCCCTGCTGGTCACTCCCCACTTGTCCTTTGAGTCTTCCCTGGGCAGCTTTCCTGACCCGTCTCTCCCCAGCAAAGCCCCCACTCCCTGCTCTGGGCTCCCACAGTGCTCTTCTCTGTCACCACACTGACCCTGCCTAGTCTTCCCCAGGGCAGACTCTGAATGTCCAGGGGCTGTGGACAGGTGCTTGGTGATGTTTGTTGAAAGACTGAGTGATGGTCCATGGACAAAAACATCCCCAGCTTATTGAAATATCCCTTACAAGATCAGAGTTGGGATGCTCAGGGCAGAATGGAGACCTCAATTCTCCTGCCCATCTGCATGCTGGAGGCCTCGAGATATTAGGTGATTAAATATGAAATGTCCGACTTGAAATCAAAAGTGTAGTTTATTATATCTCAAACAAGAAGCAGCACAATTAACCAAAGTATGCACCTAAACTATTGGCACAATTTTGCCATCTTAATGGTAGCTTGTTTATGCCAGCAGCAAAGAACCCTGGAGACTGAGTGGTGATGAAATCACGACAGGCATTTTCCACAGCTTGTTGAAAATTGAATGTTTTTCCTTGCAAGAAGCGGTCCAAAGCCTGGAAGAAGTGGTAGTCAGTTGGTGCAAGGTCTGGTGAATACGGTGGATGACAAGAGAGTTTCCAAGTCCAGCTTCTGTAGTTTGAACAGCGTTGTTTGTGCAACATGTGGTTGACTGTTGTCTTGCAAGAGAAATGGCCTGTCTCTATTGACCAATCTCAGCTGCTTGATCACAAACATCCTCATCATTGCATCTAGCTGGTTGCAGTAGACATCCACTGTAATCGATTGACCAGGTGTCATGAAGCTGTAGTGGATAATACCAGCACTGGACCACCAAACAGACACCATTAGCTTTTTTTGATGAATATTTGGTTTTTAAATGTCAGAGATATCAACTGTCAAATTTAGTACTTAAGGAAATTGGACATTTCATACTTAATAACCTAATAGTAAGTCTGTTAAGTGATTACCTCTACTTGCATACCACCAGGAATGGAGAACTCACTACCTAGCAAGTCAACCACTTCCCTGTCTCTGGAAAGTTTGGCTTTCCTTTGACTCTTCCCCCCACCCCCAACCCTGGCCAACTGAACTGCCCTACAGGGACTTGAGGCAGAGACCAGATCCTCTGAGGATCCACTGACCAGGCTCTGCAGATTCCAAGACAGGTAACCTACATCCCAGCTCCACCAAGGCTGATGGGAATGAAACTGGCCCTCAGCCCTCTCGGAACCCTGGCGGACCATTCCAGGGAGTCAGTGCCCCTTCCCCTCCTGGGACTCTGTTGGGTGAGAGTGTCACAGATCCCAGGTCGGGGCTGCTCCTGCTTTGGTGGTGGTCCTGCCAGATATGGCGCTGACAAGGTGATCTCGAAGGTCCCCTCTGACACCAAGTCGCTCAAGGGCTGCTTATGAGTCTGGGCGCTGGCTGGTTCAACTCCTGCTCTGCCACGTTCTTGGTGGGCGATCATGGGTCAGTAACTCCATCAGTCAGAGCCTCAGTTTCCCCATCTATAACATGGGTAACAATAACGGCACTACCTCACAGGCCAGAGTGAAGATTAAATGAGCTGGCGCAGGGAGGCACCAGGTGCGTGCCAGACAAGTGGGAGCCGCAGCAGAATCCCGAAGGTCTCCCGTAAGGAAGGGGTGGGGGACAAAACACTCATCACAGGTCTCCGGTATGGCAGGCCCCGCACAGGCCCCCAGAGGCTGAGTCACTCGCCCAGGGCGGGAGGTTTAGAGCTGCTGGGGAAGCAGTTTAATCCATACCAGTGGTCTTGCTGTGTAGACCGGGGAGGATGCCAATGGCAGGAGGCCGCATGGAGGACAGAGAGGCAGTGGATGGGACTTAGCTCCAGGCCGCTGGGGTGGGGGATGCTGGGAACCTGCTGCTGCCCCGCAGGTGAACACCCAGTTCTCACTGGGGACAGGGCCCTTCTCTGGCAGCGTGTTGTGTCTTCTCAGCCCAGGACCACTGCAGCCCCCAGAGCGGCCCACCGGGGAGGCAGGCTCACTGCTCCCACTCACGGACCAGGGCGACAGGGCAGGTCGATGGGGATCCTGGATCTGAACCCCAGCCGTAGGCCAGTCTGATGCAGGCCACCAGCCAGGAGCCAGGTATGGGGCTCCCTGTCCAGTGCTCTTGTGAACTCTCACAAACCTTCTTTCCCTCCCTGGAGACAGCCCGGGAGCCCCACAGCTGAGGAAGGCAACAGGGCCTCACCCTCCCCGAGCACTCAGCATCCTCCCAGACGAGGGCAGGGCAAAGACCATTGCTTCTGGAGGCAGGCAAGTTTGGTTCTATTGCTGTGTGACCTAGGCCTCATTCATACTTTCTCTGAGCCTCTTTCTCCTCATCTGTAAAATGGGAATAATAATTCCCCTTTCACAGATTCAGGAGAAGGAAAAGTGGAAGAAGTTTTGACAACACTCAGAAAAATATGGGTAATAAGGCTTCCAGACCCCCGCATCTCCTGCTTGCTCACATCCCAGCTACTCTCTTGACCTCCCCAGCCTCTTGAAGCCCTGGTGACATGAGGCAGGTTTTGCATAGGCCTGGGCCACCCCAGCAGGCGACAGCTGGCAGGGCAGACACAGGTGCCAGGCAAGCCCAGTCTGCAGCAGGAAGTTTGCTTAGAGGGCGGACATGGAACAGCCCTCACACCACCTACTGTCGCCTTAGTGGCCAGCTGGGCCCACCCCACCCCAAGTCTCCAGGGTCATGGTCCAGAATGCCAGGCACTGGGCACGCAGGGCAGCCTGCCACACGCTTCTGGGGAGCGGGCTCCGCTGACGGTGTATTCCGCACAGGCGCCCCTGCAGCTGTGGGGGCAGCCCTGCCACGGGGGCCTCCATGCACAGGAAGCTCCGCCGGGGCCAGGGGCTCACCCCACTCTTCAGAGCCTGCTCAGGGCAGGAGCCTGGGCCCGGGCCCTGCTCCACTGCCCTTCAGCTGAGTCAGGCAAACAGTGGGAGAGGGAAGGGAGACGGGGTGAAATACTATTTGCCCAACATTTAAGTTCTCTAATCTCATTTCATATTCACGACAACTCTGGGGGACAGTGGCTCTCACCCGTTTTACAGATGAGTAAAGGTCACGTGTCAACTAAGTGGCAAAGCCCCAACCTTGTCTGCCTGCAGAGCTCAAGCTCGCTCCACCCATCACACCTCTCCCCCAAGCCACCCATCTCTCCTCACTGCAGTTTTCTCATCTGTAAAATGGGCCTAATCCTTACACGTACCTCATAAGCAACTGAGGCTCAAATCAGTTAGTGGGTATGACAGTGCCCTGTAGACTGTGCGGCGCTTCACAGCAGAGAAAGCTGATGTGTGCACAGAAGTCACGGGGTGTACACTTGCCTATCCATCATCCCATCTGAGCCCAACAGCGATGGTGGGGAAGGGCGTGTCCCCCAGCTGACAGAGGAGGCATCAGACATGGCTCAGAGGGTGTAAGCGATGTACTCAACGACACACAGCTTATGAAAGAAAGAGCAGAGACTGCGACACTCACTGAGGGTGGCGGCCCCCGGAGGCCTCACATCCAGCCTCCTCATTTAGGGGGCTTCCGTGTAAGATGGGAGCTCCTGAGGGCAGGGGCTCTGTCTGTTTTGTCCTCTGCTGCCTTGTCAGTGCTCTGCATAGGACCCAGCACATAGTAGGTGCTCATTAAATATCAGTAAAATGCATGAAATAATAGGTAAATAAATAAATTGGGGAACGGGGGCCCTAAGAAGGGAAAGGACTTGCCCCAGCCATCAGCCTGTGTCCTCCACCTGAAGTCCCCCACAGCAGGTAACCCAGAGGGTGGGGCACCTGGGAGCAGGAACAGCAGAGCAGACTCCTGGGGGGCCAGGTGCTCGGCCCCGCAGGCCACAGAGCTGGGCTGGGTCAGCATCAGGGACAGGAAAGAGCACCGCTGGCAGAAGCAGCCTCCTCCACACACAGCCACCCCAGTTTCTGAATCTAAGATTTGGGTCTCAGAGCCTGACGGGCTCGGGGCACCCTGTGCCTCCTGGGTGGGCTTCCTCCCTGGCCCACTGGGAACGAAGGCCACCGGGCCCCACCTGACAGGCACAGCTGTGGCCTGGACCCTGTTGCATCAACATGGCTGTGTGTACAGACAACACCCACCCCCTGCACTTGCGCCAGCCTGGGCGGGGCGAACAGGCTCTGGTCGAGAGCATCCTGAGGCCTGGCCTGGTTCCAGCTGACCACTAACTCTCTGTGTGACCATGCAGGTCACCAGGTTCCTCATCTGAGAAGTGAGGGTTTGGCTGGATAGTCCCCAAAGCACTGCCCTTCCCTCTAACAGTCGATTCAAACCAAGGTTTGACTGTTGGACTAAGTGGCCTCTGTTGAATACCGTGTCGTCTCTGTCCTCAGGCAGTCGAAGGCCAGTGGTGGGAACACTCTTGCATTCTTCAACTGGGAATGCATTTTCCCTCTGGCCACGGGAACATCCAGGTCCCCGGCCAGCCAGGGAAGTCTGGAGTAGCCCCTGACACCCCTGGATACAGTGCTTAGAGAGTGGATAGGAGGAAGAACGCAAGCTTTGCTCCCGGCAGGCTCCTGTCACCTTCCAGCTGTGTGTGCCTCGCCTTCCCCTTCTGCAGAGGCAACAGCGATCGTCATCTTGGAGGCAGTCGAGTAATAGGAGGTGACAGGAGATGGTGTATGCAGGCCCCTGCGTGTAGGCACGCTCCACAGTTTGTTGAATAAGTGGGTACACAGCAAGGGCGTACACAATGCGTGCATCCTCAACATGCTCACAGGTAAAATAAAAACTCATTCTTGGGGAGGGTTGATACTTGTTTATGTATAAAGCACAGATATACATACAAAACATAAACAGATACGTGGTATATCTGTGGTTTTAAAATTTCGTGAGTGAGGATTTCACAAGAGAATCTCCTGCCTCAGCCTTCCGAGTAGCTAGAACAGCAGGCCACACCGTCACCCAGCAAATTTTTAAATTTTTTGTAGAGACAGGTCTTGCAACGTTGCCCAGCCTGGTCTCCAGCTCCCTGCCTCGAGCAAGCCTGCCAAAGTGCTGCTATTGCAGGCGTGAGCCACCATGCCTGGCCACGAAGTGCTGCCTTAATGCACCACTTTGCCCATCCCACCACACCCCTCCCCGTGCCTTTGCACTTGCTCTTCCAACCGCCTAAAATGCCGCTTTCCATGTCCACTAGAAAAAACTTGACATTTACTGTGCACCTACTGTGTGCTAGGCACTGGGCTAGGCTCTACATACACATCATCCATTTAAATTTCCCAGGAAAATGGGTAGAAAATGGGTGACAGCATGGACTCCAGGACCAGACCGCCTGGGTTCAAGTCCCAGAGTGACACATACCAGCCAATATCCTTGGGCAAGTTACTTAACGTCCCCATGCCTCCATTTCTTCTTCTATAAACGGAGTTAATAACAGTACCTACTTCAAAGGGCTGCTGTAAGAATGAGTGAGTCAATGTATGAAGCACTTAGAACAGCGCCTGGCACGTGGCAAGTACCATACAGGTGTTTGCTATTATCGTTGTTCCTATTATTCCCATTTTATTTCAGATGAGGAAGCTGAGGCTTAGTAGGGTTGCATGACCTACTAGAAGTCTCACTGCCAGTCTGTAATAGAACCAGGACAGGATCCCAGTGGGTCTGACTCCTGTGCCTAGGCTCTTAACCCGTCTGCTACTCTGCCCCATACCATGCTGAGCATAGCTGCCACCTCCTCTAGGAAGCCTTCCCTGATTTCTCCATAGCTCCACAGACCATGTCTGTCTCTCTCATAGCTGCAACTTCTCTGGTTTGTTATTATCTGCCTCTGTCCTGGGGCTTCAAACTTCTTTAGGATGGCATTGGTCAGCTTCAATGTCCTCAGTGCACAGGGCAAGGCCCTGAGAGTTTACCGAGCAAATGCCGGACTGGGCCCCCAACTGTGGCCCCCACCCACTGCCCCACCCTGCCCCACTGACCTGCAGCTCTCCTTCTGCGAGGACTCCACGCTGAGATAGTACAGGTCTCTGGACAAATGGTACAGGTCCCACTGGGGTGGCCCCCGGGTGCTGGCCTTGATGGACCACAGCAGGCTGAAGAGCAGCAGCAGGCCACCTGTGCCGCAGCAGAAGAGGCTGACCGACCTGAGCAGGGGCCTGGGCGCCTCAGCACCAGGATACTCAGTGGGTGTGGCCAGCGGGCCAGTCTGGGCACCCACATTCCCTTCGCTCCACCAAGCAAAGCAGAGTGTCCCGGCCACCAGAACCACGGTGCCGCTGACCGTCATGCAATATCGCAGGGTGGAGGCCACGCAGCCCCTGTGACACATCTGGACATGGAGAAGGGGAGAGAAGAGGAAATGAAAGATACTGGAGACCTGGGTGTTAGTCCTCCTCAGCCTGAGGTCACTGTGCAACCTTACAGAGGTCGTTTGACTGCTCATCGCTGAGATGGAGGTGATGCCCCGGACTTCGCAGGGCTATTCTGAAGGTCACAGCGACAAAGCGCATCAGCACCATGCCTGGGACACAGTAGGTGCTCAGCAGCTGTGGCTATGTTCACTCAGGGCCTCTTTCCAGGCCTCGGGGGCCTCAGGGAGGAGAGTGAACATTGCTGGGTCCAGCAGGCTGCCAGGACGGGGGCTTGCTGGGTATGCACCGCCGTTAAGCGTGGGTTATGCGTATGGGTTAGGCATGCCCACAGCCCCTGAGATCAACGCCATCTCCATTGGATGGTGGAAGACACTGAGACCCAGGACAGTGTGAAAGAGGGGACTGAAGAGTCTCAAGTTGAAATTTATGGCATGGAGCAAAACTACGTGCAAAAAGGTGTTCACCGTGGCCTTGTTTACAATGGTCATAATTTGGAAAGTGCTTCAATGTCCAACTACAGAGACATGGTGAAGAAATTATGGCATACCCTCTAGATTAAATAATTGATATTAACCCATTTTTAAAAAATATCAAGCTCAGCATGAAGGTTTAACAACAGGGGGAAACACTTATGATATCTTACTTTTTTCCAACTTAGTATACCAAATTATACATGCTGTGTTATCCCAATTAGGCTAAGAAATCAACGCAAGGGAGATGAAAAAAATACCTGGAAGGAAGCCTCGCCCCAGACCACACGGACAGTAAGAGGCTGAAACCTAGGTCCAGGGTGTCCCCAAAGCCAACCTCAAGGCTGTTTGTTGTACCCTCTGTCCCCGCTGCCTGGTAACTTTCCATTATCTCCCCTCCAGGATCAGCTCAGCCCTCACCGAGAAGCCTTCTCTGATGACACTCTAAATGCCCACGTCTCCTGGGCCTTCTTGGACCACAGCACTTAACCTCTCTGTGTTTAACTTCTTGTCCCCACTCCCAGACTGTGTGCTCCCTGAGGGCAGGGTTCAAGTTGGCCCTGTTTGTGGCTATAGCTACCCGGTGCCTAGCACATGACAGCTGCTCAGTAAACATTTGTTGAATAAATCCTCTGAAATGAGGTAAAGAGTTGCTGGATAAATAAATGTTTGTTGGGTGAAAATCCTCCCTCGCAGTGGTAAAGAGCTGGGAGACGGGAGGGACCACAAGATTCCAGCTGCTACAGCGCAGGGCCGCGGAGTACAGTAGTCCTGGCTTTGGCCCCTCTCTGCAGCTGTGTCCTGGGGAAAGCCTCTCCACTGCTCTGGGCCTGTTTCCTCGTCTGTAAAGGGCAGGCTGTCTAGCAGGCTGCTGGGAGGATTCGCGGAGGGACCATCTTCTCTTCCAAAGGCTGAGCCAGCGAAGTGAGCCTCAGGGAGCCACAGACCTTAAGGGAGATGTCGGTGATGAGAAATCCTCCCACATGGGGCTTGCCCAGCCAAAGTGGCGCATCCCAGTGACACTATGCTGTGCAGCCACTCAAAGGCACGTTCCTACGTGAGCTGAAGGGGACAGCAAATGTTCAAGATACGGTAGGTAAAACTTCAGATTTCAAAAGGGCATGTTCCCAAATGTGTTTTAAAAACATGTGTGTGCAAGAGAGCAAAAGAGAGAGAGAATGTATGCATGTAAAAGGGGTGCTCTGGGAGTGGACCCCAATATTTCCAACCCCCCAAACTACTGGACACACATAGAGAAATGCCATTTGTAAATTACCTACAGTTCTCTTCCTGTGAATCAGTCTTGGAGGCCAGTGCCTCCTGTCTCCAGCTCAAGGCTTTTTTGTGGAGGGAGAAAAAGAACCTGCCCGCCCCTTCTCCCCAGCCAGGAGAGGCTGTCAAGAGGGGAAATCTGTTTTGAGGGGGACCCCACAAGCAAATGCAGAACAGTGAGCCCTGGCCTGTAGTTATGGTACTGACAGCTCCCCTTCAACCCAACATCTCGTCTGCCACCTCGCACTGAGGTGGGTGGGCAGGGCAGGGAAAAATTCCATTTTACAAATGAGGAGTCTAAACCCAGAAAGGTGAATGACCTTGCCCAAAGCCAGACACAGCAGCGTTCTCGACACTAGAGGAAAGCACACCTGGACCACCTGTATGAGGTAACCTATGATGTTTTTACTTCTATCCAAACCGGAGTTGCTCATTGTGGGGGAAAACAAGAGAAAGCCACAGAACAGAATAAAAATGTAAAACAAATCATCAGGAATCTTGCCTCTCAGAGATGAATATGACCCCATGTAGGTGTTTCCTGGCCATTTCTCCCTTGGCCTGCAAACACGACGATGGTGGCAGCAGATGTGTGTCGGGTACTTACCTGGCTGGGCACCACGCCGAGCATTTTACGGGCATCCCTTCACTTAATCCTGGCAACAGTGTTATGTCCCAAGGACACTGAGGCCCCTAGCGTAACAACTTGTCCTCGGTTGGGGCTGGATTTAGACGCAGGTCTAGTCTGAGTCAAATCCCTGTGTGTGTGCACAGCTGGGTCTGTCGATATTTTTTAATACATAAAGCCGAGGCCAAGCTGTGAACATAAGTACTTGTAAGTCTTAGGCACAGGCAGCTCTTGCTTTCCAGAATGCACTGCTCTCCTTCCTGGCTCGACTCCTCCTGGGCCTCAGACAAGCCCCTGCCATTGCCCTTTGCATGTTCACACACAGTGTTGTGGTCATCTCCCCTGGGGGAACAACCCCCCCCCCAAGCGGAAGCCCCAAGGCAAACCGGGGAACGGCCAAACCGCCAACCGGGGGGGGTCGGGGGTGGAAGCGGATGAAGGACAGCCTGTTCTGTAGCACAGTGGTTGTTTTCTTTATTACTATAGATCAGGGCTCTATATTCAGCAGGGCGCCCTACCCCAAGACTTCCCCGACTCATTGCAGAGAGATGGTCTTTAGGCAGTTTGCTGGCCTCTCACACTGGTGCACCTCCAGACCCTGTACCCTGATGGCGGAAGAAGGAGGAAGGGCTCCCGCCCTGGAAGGCATCAACCCCAGCCCCAGGGCAGGCAGGAGACTCCCCCAATCTCGAGAAGTCCCACCCCCAACCTGGCACTCAATCAGGATCTGCCTGGCTGGCCCCACCTCCCCCAGATCCCGCCCCACCCTCACCCAAACTCCTGTCACCTGGGAGCCCTCTCCCCGCACCCCCTCCCCGGGGCCCTCATTTCGCCCCTCCCAGAAGCATGTCTGCTGCTACCAATCTGCTCCCCTGAGCACATATCTCCACCTGTCACTGCCTCTGACTGCAGTCCTTCCTTCTGTTAGCTCCGTGACCGTGGGCAGGCTGCTCAACATCTCTGAGCTCAAACCCCTGCCTCCCAGGGGGAAGCAGGTTATGAAGATGAGATGGTGAGAAGGCAAGCCGTGACACAGTGACACAGGGCAGGACAGAGGATAGACCCTGGCTCTGACATGGGCAATTTATTGACCTCTCCATGCCTTAGTGCCCTCCTCTGTAAAATGGGCACAATAACACCATATTGCTCGTAAGAATTAAAATATGTGAAAACCATTTATTCCCTTATCATGATTTTTATTTCCACAGCATCACTTAGTACCGGCCCCCACCCTCCGTCTTACCTTACCTACCTGTACTAGCGGGGCCAGCCGGGATCTGTTTTCTGCCCCTGGCCCGGGGGCAGCATCTTCAGTAAAAGTCTGCTGGGAGAAAGGCTCTGCTCCGTGGGAGAGCGAGCAGGGGAGAGCCGCGCTCCCACACCCGGGTCCCCACAGGGCCTGCACAGGAGCGCTGTGCCAGTGCCCGGCTCCATGCCACCAGCAAGGGCACTTTAGATGCCCCTTTCTATAAAGAAGACTCCATCTGAACAAGAAGTGGCCCAAATCATCCCTATCCAACCGCCGGGGAAACTGAGGCACCAAGTGCCATGCCCAGGGAAACCCAGCAAAGCGAAACACCGGTGGAGCCCGGGTGTCCACACGGTGCCCACCAAGCGCGCGGTTAAGGGAAGGGGTTCGGGCGGGTTGGCGTTGGCAGGAGCTGAGTGCTCCCGCAAGGGAAGGGGAAGGGAGAATGTGCCACCCACCTCGGGCGCAGGCATCGGGCGGCGGTCAGGCGTGGCCCAGGCGCGGGGAGCCCGGCGGGGATACAGGCATGGTGGCCGCGGGAGGAGGGGGCTGAGCGAACCTGCGGCCCCTGGGTCTGCGGGGGCGCTGGCGTTAGGGGGAGGCCCTGGCGGCCGCCCCCAGCGCCACTCCCTGAGCCCGCAGGAGCACCGTGAGGGCGGTCGGGCTCCGGGTCAGGTGCAGAACCCTAGCCCGCCCGCCCTGTCGGTCGGCCCGCTCCCGCCGCCCCCACCCGCTGCGAGGGTCGCCCAGCCCGGCTTCCCCCGTGGCGCCCGCGGGTCTGAGCGCTGCCCGCTGCCCGCAGGGCTCTGCGGCTCACGCGGGGCGCCCCGGGGCGCTTAGCCCTCGACTCCGTGGTGACCACCCGGACCCGGTTTGGTTGAATGTGGCCAGTCCGCGGGGCTCAGGCCCGGGCTCGGGGGCGCGGCCCGCCCCACCTCTCTGGGTCCGCGTCCTCACCGGCCGCCGCCGGGTCCACAGAGACTGGAGACTCCCGAGTGGGGTGGCCCGGCTGGCTCGGGGCAGGGCGGCTCCAGGTGCCGCACGGGTCACCCAGCCCGCCCCGCCTGACCTTAAAGCGACAGCGCGACTGGGCTGGCGGGGATTTGGGCTTCCCAGCTCAGGGGGGTTCGGGGGTACGGGGCGGGGGTGGCAGCGGCGGGCCTGCTCTTCACCCAACTGCCCTGGAACTGCCCGGGAACCGTCGGTCCTTGGGGCCGTCCCATACCGCTAACACTCTGGGGCCGTCTTGGGAATGGAAACAACGCTGACAGCCATCAGCGCTCTGCTGGAGAGGGCTCT